CTCCTTGGTGAGCTACCGAGCTCGTGGGGTATGCATGCCGAGTTTATCGGTGGGCGTCTTATGGGCGGCTAGGTCGGCCAGGTCGGATCATGTGCCAAGATGATCCAGGTCGGCCAGGTCGTGCAGGCCGCGCCAGGCCGGTGCCCGGGTGGAACACCAACTTGGTAAGTTGTTGCCTGGGTGTTGCCTAGTTGTCACGAAGTGCCACGTGTCACAATTTTACTGGAGGGCCAAATCTGCCCTCATCACCAACTATCATCATAATAAAAGAAAACTATATAACCACTACCAACACAATCAATTCACAAGAAGCATCATAATAAGTCATCGAATAACATCTACAATCAACACCCGTGTTATTCAAATAGATTTCCAATTAAGTAAGTTCAAATGGTTTATAAGTTAGAAGTTAACAATATTATAGTCCAAATTTAAACCAGTAAATATAAAAGGTCCATATGACAAAGTCTTTAATTTTCCCCATAGATCTTTCCATCAACCAATCCTTCCTATGGGCTTTTGAATGTTTAAAAAATGCCTCTCTAAATGCCCAAGTTTGGAACAACCTGCTAGTAGCAAGCATATATGTTCTTAAACATAGTAGATTAACCATTGCATTCAAGATATCAAGGTTCAAAATATCGATACAGGGTGATACACCAGTAGAAGGTATTGGTCTATATCGGTACTGTTTTTTTTTTGTTTTTTTTTTATTTTTTTTCTAAATCTGGTTCAAAGGGCTGGTTTACCCCCTGAACTACTCGCCAACCCGAAACACCCCTTGTAAGGGCGTATCAAGAAGGCTCCAATACAATATATATTGGCCGATATGGATCGATATATAACGACATTTTGAACCTTGTAAGATATGCATGCATTTACCCACATTGAAGTCAACACGAGCATTGTCACATGCTACTAAGCAATCAGTCCTCCTATGGTATGCATTTGTTATATTTATCATTGCAATGGACACCTTTTTTATTCTGTCACCTCTTCTCTTTCTGGGTAGATTGGGTGGTAGTTGTGGTGGGATTGGTGCATCGAACTCCGTTATTTTTTTAAGTATTAAGTTGTGGGGAGTCAATGGTAGAACCAACTTTATCCTCAGCCTTGTTCTCATCATCAATTGGCACCACACCCTTAGATTACGAAATTGTAGATAATCCAACAGTTGAAGTGTCACCAAAGATCATGTCAAATATAGCAAATTCACGACACCTATATTACCATTAACGTATGAAAGCATATTTTAATCCAAAAACTACAAGTGGACAAAGTATTGGGATTGTTGAAGATCTGTTGCCTTTTTATGTTGCCATTAGTTGTTGTTATTGGAGTCTGGATTTTCTGTCCACGAGAATTCTGCCCACGTTTATCTCAGCCATACACGGAGAATATCTCATTCTCTGCATAGTATTACGTAGGGGGAGATGTTCCCAATTCATGGGGGTAGTGTATTGTGGGTAGGCATGGGCAGAGTTCTCGTGGGCAGGAGATCTGGAGTCTTGCTGTTGGTCTTTAAAGCTCATTAATTTATTGTTGTTTTTTTTTTATTTTTGTTAATAGTAGCAACTAGGGGTGTCAATGGTGTTCGAAAATCCAATTTTGAATTCGAGATTCGACATAATTAAATCAAAATTAGATAATTCGAGTATCTAATCAATCAAATTCGGATATGACCTTATTCGATTAGATAAATATCCAAAATTTATTGATTATTTAATTCTTATATATAATATATAAAATACTTAAATGCTTTATATAATTTATATATATAATAATTAAATTATATATTTATATACTTTATTTATATAAACAAATTATTTATTTTATATATTTATTAATTACCTAAAATAATTAATTGGGTGAATTTGAATCGAGTTGAATATTTGAATATTTAATCAAATTCAAATTCGAATATTAATTTTCAATATCTGTCAGATATCAAATCGAATTTGGATATTGCCTGATTCAATTCAAATTTGATCCGGTTACACCCCTAGTAACAACCCTATTAAGGGCATATTTGACATTGTACCTCTTTTTATTTTTCAAGTGTAAAAGATAATGAGGGAGGCAGCCTAATAAGACTGGCTTTTCCATTCTCTTTTCTCTCATCTTCTTCTATTCTCAATAGACTTTGTTCTTCTTTCTCTTCTTTCTTGAATTCTTTTATTAGAGCACAGGGTTATTCATTAAAGTAGTTGTGTTTATACTATTCAACAAAATGGAATGACAAAAATGAAGAACAAACACATTGTAGAGGTGGCAAGGACTCTTATGGTTTATGCTTTTGTCTCCTTGTGTTTTTGGGGTGATGTTGTTCTTATTGATGTTTACTTGATTAATTATATGCCTTTTTTTGTTTTAGGATTTCAGATACTGTTTAATCTTCTTTATCCAAGGGGGGAGATATTTTGTATTCCTTTGAGGGGCTTTAGGTGTATTTGTTTTGTCCATATTCATATTCTTGGTTCTCATTGTTTTAAGTTTAACCCTAAAGCCAAAAAGTGTTTTCCTTGAATGTGTTCAAACTATAAGAGGTATTGTTGTTATAATCTATTGCAAGTAAGTTAGTATGTTACCATGGATGTCTCTTTCTTTAAACTCACACATTTCTTTGATAGTGGTTCTCCTCATGAGAATGTCTTTGAGGGAGAAGGTGAGCATCCAATTCCTATTCCTTTTGCCACCTCTAGTTTCTTTACCTACTCCATTACATCCCACCTTACAATTTCTTTATGCGGTAGTGCGAGAGGGTTGGTTCTACTTATGCACTTACATGGGAATCCGCACCACTTTCAATTATTTATCTAAGATTCTAGGTTCGATTTACATAGATCCAAGTATGCCTCTTGTAACTGTAGATGCTTTTGTTTCTAATGATGATACTCATGTATGTAACACTATTGATGCAGATGACCTTGACCTTCGTATTGCTTTCTCATAACATCTCTCTTATATTAGTTTTTCTCCTTTCTATTGTGCCTCCTTTTCTTTTCTTTGTTGTTTGTACCTAGGAATATTAGTGAAGTTCTTTCTATGCTTGAGTGGAGGACACCTATGCAAGAGGAAATTAAAGCCTTGAATAAAAATCAAACATGGGAGATTATTGATCCAAAGTGAACCTTTATACTCATGTACATAGATCCATTGTTTTCTCATAACATCTCTCTTATATTAGCTTTTCTCCTTTCTATTGTGCCTCTTTTTCTTTTCTTTGTTGTTTGTACCTAGGAATATTAGTGAAGTTCTTTATATACTTAAGTGGAGGACACCTATGCAAGAGGAAATTAAAGCCTTGAATAAAAATCAAACATGGGAGATTATTGATCTAACGACTGAGAAAGAGAAAGTTAGGTGTAGATGGGTGTTCACTGTAAAGTATAAGGTTGATGGGAATAGAAAAGTACAAGGTGAGGCTTGTTAAAAAAATGTATAAAGACTTATAAAGTAGATTACGTAGATGCTTTTGCCCCTGTAGCCAAAATGAGTTCATTCCTAATTCTCTTGTCTCTAGCGGCCACTTATTGTTGACCACTTTTTCAATGTGATGTAAAGAATGTCTTTTTTAATGGAGATAGGAGGTGTATATGGATCTTCTAACTAGGTTTTTATGATGATGTAGGTGAAGGAAAAGTCTGAAGATTAAAGAATTTTTCATGTGGCTTGAAGCAATCATCTAGAGCATATTTTGATAGGTTTAGGAGAGCATTGATTCACTTTAGATACACATAGACTCGGACAAATCATACTCTTTGTGAATAGAAGAATGTAATCACTTGTATAGTGTTAATAATATATATTGATGATATTGTAATTATAGAGTGCAACTTAAAAAATAGATGAACCTAAACTTTTGGGTCTAAACCTAGGTCCAACTTGAGGACAAAAAATCCAAGTCAATCCAGTTAACAAGCTGGGTTGGTCTAGGCGCAAATTGAACCCGCTTAATTTGCACTCATACAGGTCATTGACCACTAATTAATTAGAAAAAATAGTTTTCTTTTCGACTTGGTTTAAATTTTTATTTTACTTCCATCATTAACAAAAATAACTCTTATTTATCATGTTTATTTTTGTTTAATATGATAAAATACATAATACTAGAGATGTACCTAATGTTTTGTACATTTTTTTTGTAGTTTTTAATAATTTTTGTCTCTCTCTTTTTTAAAATTTTTGTTATTTAATTATGACAATGTCATTTGACTGATTTAACCTAAAAGGTTGAACCACTGGTCCACTGCTTGAATAGGAAAATGGTTTTATTTTTAGATCGATTTTAGATTTTGTATTTTATTTTCATCATTAATAAAAAATGCTTCTTCTTTATCATACTTATTTTTGTCTATCATGATAAATATATAATTTTAGAGACGTACCTAATTTTTTTGTAACTTTTATACTTTAATCTGTTTTTAAACCTTTATTATTTAGCAATGAAATCATTTATTGATCCATTTGACTCATATAGTTGAACTATGTACCCTGACATAAACAAAAGCTCTGTTTAGTTTTGATGTTGGATTTGAACACGTTTTATATTGTCAAAATTATTGAGCATTTATTTAATTAGTAAAATTTATTTATAGAAAACAAAAATACCTCAAATAGAAAAAAAATCAAGAAGGGAGAATTAATAAAAGGAAATTGACTTTTTGCTTTCTTCAAATAACGACCGAATGAACAATGACAACTAGTGCACATGGATGGCGTTTGGCGACTGGGCAACAACGTTCAACGATTTGGTGGCAAAAGCTAAGGAGTTAGCCCGGCAACTGCAGCCAAACATAGCGGCTTTCTATTTCATCCATCAATACATGTGGGTAAATTAGAAGGGCGGAAGGGCCCCCAATCACTATTGATTCATAGATTCTATTTTCTATCTTTAAACTATTTTCTACATTTTTAAATATTTTATTGTTCATTTACGACATCACGGATCAACATTTCGACGCAGACGGTTGAACCGATGGCTCGCGACCCGGAGGGAAAGCGGTTTTTTTTCGGATCGTTTTTTGAAACACTGCTTTTGATCATTTTTAGAAACAGGGGAGGTTAATGATTTTTTTTCTGAAAACACAGGGTGTTGTTGTGTAATTAAAACTCAAAAGGGTTTTTCGTTTTTCATTCACTCGGAGTGCAGGGACAAGGGTTTTTCATTCACTCGGAAAACCTCTTCAACCGGGTATCGAAGTTCAAACTGATAGCTTGTTTGCTGTAAGCTGTAACTCTGGGAGGCCGGAAGCTACCGGCACAGCACCGTTCTTCCTATCTCTCCTGACATGTTTAACAAACACTGATAACGACTGATAACGACCATAGAGATCGTTCCTACTCGACGGAGAAGTTTCTTGTGCGTCATCTTGCCGGAACTATTCGAAAAGCCGGTAAGCCCCCTCCTCCCTCCCTTTGTTTCTCTTTCTTCCTTCGTGAGTAACCGAAAGTGAATTGCTATATAAAGCAATATACAGCATTAGAACCATGCACGGATTGTTGCCACAAGGAGAATCAACCATTCTGAGACAAGAACAACACTAACAATCAGCGGCCATGGGGAAATCCACCACGACTGGAATGTCACAAAAGAAACAGACAACCCAGACAAAACAAAAGATGACCAACTATCCGAGAGGTTCTAGATGCTGATAAGGAAGCCAGAAAGAAGAATCCGTACGAGATTTTAGTAATAATGCAGTTAGTCTTAAAGGACATCTTGAATTTAATGCTTTCACAAGTTGTGGTCTTCCCAGATCGTTTGGCATTTCTATCAAGCCAAATATGGTATATAGTACATCAAAAATGCAAATATGGGGATTAAGGCAGGGTTGAGATTACCTTAGAAGTTCCACTTCATAACCATGGCCATTGCCTTTTCAATAGCATTAGTGCTTCATTTCTGTAGCATCTCTCTCCATGGTTGTCAAGGCGACACCGACACCTAGTGTGTATGCTTTCTTTTGTATCTACATGACATCTCTGTCCTGGCATGCATATGCATGTTTTCTTTTGTACCCACCTAACATCTCTCTTCATTTCTGTAGAGCATCTGTATATTGAATCAATCCCTATGGGAAAAATGTTTTGATTATATGATATTTGTATGGTATTTAAACTCTACAGCCCTATCTGGGTCTTCTCCAGCATAAACACATATAAAAGTATATGCATGCCAGGATAGACTCAATGACACAATCTCAGAAAATGCCAAGTTTTTTGTGTTTCAAAAAATTTTCAGAATTTTCATCAATCTTTTTGGATTTTTCTGAATTTTGAATTCCAATGTTTTAGGGCTTGGCTTGATTTTGCCTTTGTATTTGGTGGTTGAGCTGGGGGTGAGATACATAGAGCGAGAATTCAGGTTTTGGACATGGGAGTGCTTGCTCCCATTTCTCATTGGATCCCTGAAGATGATCTATTGTTGAAGAATGCTGTCGAGGTACTTTTCATTGCCTTCTCTTTGGTTTGACTTAAGCATTTCTGTCTTTGTATCCCTAGGAAAGGAAGAAAAGAAAAAGAAAAAAAAGGAAAAGAACAGTCAAAGAAAATAAGATTACGCATTAGCACAAGTATTATGATTTATCCTTAATCTGGGAAAATTGTTTAACTAATGTGGATTTTGTTTTGCAATTCACAAGGGGAAAAATGCAAAGACAGTGGCATTCATAAGGATTTTTGGAATTGGATTATGGCAACTATTTGTTGTCTAATCAGGCAAGCCTTCTTTGTCTGACAGTGTTAGGACTAGGAGTGGAGGAGAGCTGATGGCTACACAATTTGGTTTTCCTTTTTTTTTTGTTTGTTTCCATGTGTTTCTGGGGTGTTGAGATACATGTGTATTTCTGGCATCTACACATGTACTGTTTATGTAGGGTTATTGTTCTCTTTTTTCTACTATTAGATAGGGGTGCAACATGGGTTGGCCTGCATTTGACTTTCGTAAATTTTGAATGGGCCCATCCTGAAAGTCTGGTCCCGGTGTAGTGGAAATTCTCCAAATATTTTGAGAAATTAATAAAATTCTCTTCTTCAGGTTGGGCTCCTGCTATTAGAATATTGATAAAATTCTTTCGGGGTGGTGGAACATTATATGCACAAATCCCTTCCATTTGTGCAACATAAATTTCTCTTCTTCTTAGCATATTACTTAACCTTAACACATTAAACTATGTTACTGATAAAAACACGTCAACTGTATTTCTTAGTATCAGAGCATAGAAAACAAGAAATCATGTTAAAAGTGTTCTAATAGTTTTGGTGAAGAGGGCTTTCTAGCATCATTAGGCCATATGGATGATCTCAGCAATTGTATGGCCTAACTCCATAAGAGGGTGAAAGAATTGAACTGCCTGACATAGCTCCATCTATGGAGTTTTCTTTTTTTTGTGCTACTGTTTGAAGCTCTTTAATATTTTTTTGAAGATTTTCTTTGGTGAAATTCAGAAAAATTTCAATTTGATGTTTTGTGATTGCTTCTTAGATTGGAGGTGGCCCTTGATGATTCTATTGGGGATGACCATCTGTGGTCTATTGATATTGCTGGTAGTTATTCCTGCAAATCCTTTTTTATTTCCCTAGCGGCCACAGTGATTTAAAAGGTGCACCTTAGGCATGCCTGGGCGCTCAGGCAAGGCACATTTTAGGGTATGTGCCTCACCTAGGTCCTGGCACAACATTTTCAAAGGGCGCATGCCTGGTGCGCCTTGCACTTCAGCCCAGGTGTGTGCCTTTTGAAAATCTGTGCATTTTTTCTGTTTTTTTTTGTTGTGTGTGTGTGTTTAGCAGCTGGGTACTGGAGTGGAGAGAACCTCATATTTGCTAATGTTGCTCATTCATTCATCCTAATAAAAGATATTTTTAAAAGACACTTAAAGTCATAAAACATTTTTCTTATGGGGATTAAGAATTTAAGACCCTGATATGGACTTGTTTGGGCTTTCCTTGAGGGGCTTGATACAAGGGCTGCTTGTAGAATCAAGAATGCATAATGTTTAACATCACGTTAGCTATTTGAAGTAATGTAATTGGGAAAAAAAATAAAGAGATTAAGAGTTTGCATGCTTAAATATGTTATGCTTGATTTTATTTTTAAATATGTTTTGCATGTTATGTTTATGTATTTAAATTTGCGATAATAGGTTTTTAAAGCATTTATTTTAAAAGTTAAGTTTATATTTTTAGTGAATAATGTGTTTAATATTTTTAATATTTTGCATTTTTTATTTTTTGGCAGTTTTTTATTTTTTATTTTTTGCATTTTTGTGCCTTGCTTCAAAAAGGTGCACCTCACCTTGCACCTTGTTCCTTGGGCACAAAATGACCCTTGTGCTTTTTTTGCGCTTTGCGCTTTTAAAACACTGTGGTCACTGCTTCTTTGCCATCTTTTCTCGTGAAGGAAGTTAGGTGTTCTTCTATTCCCCCAAAAGTTAGTGCCTTCTGTTGGAAGTTTTTCATAGATGCATCACCACATGTGATTTGTTACAAAGGAAAGGACCGTACTGTCTTTTGTTCCCTAGTTGTATCATGTGCAGATTGACTGCCTACCACCTCTTAATCTCCTGCTCATTCGTTTGCTGTATTTGGGAATGGTTTTCTATTCTTTTTGGATGTAGGTGGAACCCCCCTTGATTCATCTATGATGAGATGCATAAATAGATGGGCTGACATGTGGAAATGCATAAAGGGCAGCGGTGATTTGGATAATTTAGGAGGAACGGAATGCAAGAATTTTTTATGAGAAAGAAAGTAGGGAGGTACTAATTGAAACCATCACTTTGCAAGTAGCACAATGGGTGAAGACTCTGGTATTGTTCTTGGATTTCATTGTGGAAGATATCTTTAGATATTAGGGAGTAATAGCACGGTCATCCTCTAAAGAAGATTGGAGTCTTCCAAACTGGGATTGGAGGAGTGATAAGGGATGAGAATGGATACATTTGTGCAATGTTTTCAGGTCCAATAGAAGAAGGTGGTTCAGTAAGAGCAGAACTTTTGGCAGTAGTGTTTGGGGTGCAAAAAGCAAAGGAAATGGGGGTTGAGAGGTTGTTCATTGAAGGTGGTAGTGGGGTGGTTAATGACGGAAAAGAATGTGGTGTGGAATTTCAGGAATGACTTTAGACTGTTCAAATGGTTTTCAAAAGATATGCAATTACAAATCAGATGGGTATGTAGGTTTGCAAATTGTTTGGCTAAACAAGGGGTGAATAGACAACAAATATTTTGGGCTCAAATGTAAAAAGGATGATGGGTTGTATCTATAGTGTATATGTTTTCTTTTGTACCCACAACCTCTTGTTGTATCTTTCTTAAATTTAATGAATGAATTACTTCTTTGTTGCTGATAAAAAATGTTTCTTTTTTATTTGTTGATATTAAATATAAAATTCATTAAAGTAGAAATAGAATACACACTGGTGATAAGATGTCCTTGAGGAGAGAAACAGGTACTAAAACAACAATCATCCCCACCCTGAGGAAATATTGTCCATCACATATGACATTCCAAACCATCTAATGGAAGAGACATCCAACATCCTACAAAGGAAGAAGCAGAAAACCCTATTCTTACGTTTTACAAACAAAAGAACAGAAGCACATAGATGATCCTAAATCACATATACAACATTCCCCAGCTTCAAATAAGACTTATGGTAAACATTTTCACACAACAAGCTCCTCCCAAAAATTGATGAGCATGATGGTAATGAGGGATGCAGAGGTGGAGGAGACTGTAAAACTATATCTTCCGGATGAGTTCATCACAAGAGGAGAGATCCCTTGGAAGTTCAGGCTGCTGGTCAGACAGGCAAAATTTCTAGGTACCAACTTGAATAGCTCATTCAAATGGGTACTCAAATGCTTTGGCAGACTCGTTAATGAGGATAGGGGTTGCAAAGGAACAAATGGTGTGGGGATGTCCAAGGCCAGTTTGTAATTTGTAACGGATCTGTACCTGTATTTTCTGCTCCATGTTTTTTGGAGTCTGCTCTGTTCTCTCTTGGCCTTCTGTCACATATTTGGGTAGTGTGGAGTTTTTAATTAATGAAATATCTGTTATTTATCCAAAAAAAAAAAGAAGAAGCTCCTCCCAGAAATAATACTGAAATTCTGCACCTCCTTACCATCTCAAAAAAAAAAAAAAACCTAAAACTAAACAACCATTCTTGTCCTAAAGGAAATGGGCCTGGGATAAATGTGGACTTTTCCCTGTCTGTTCTTTCTATAACAAGACTAACTTAGCATCGGAATACCTCCTTCCCATGGAAAAAAAAATCTGGTGTTCTCGTGTTCCCTCTAAGGTTGCCTTTCTGGTATGGACTACTACCCTTGGATGCTTAACCAYTGATTTKCTGCTTAGAAGAGGCATGAATGGGATCAAAACATAGTGAACTTTTTTTTTTTTTGAGCAAGAAGAGATTTAGAGATTGGTCTTTAGCTCTACCAGATTTTAAGGGGATCATCAAGTAAGATTTTGATTGTAACTTTTGGGTTTTATTTATCCATAATTGGAACTGAAATCTTTGTAATTTTGTTTCTCACCTTTTGTCTTCTTTTTTTTTTTGTGGTGATTCCTTATCACCCTTTGGATGTACCTTTTGTTTTTATTAATAAACTTTCCTTTTTATTTTATTACTAAAAATGAATGGGATCAGTGACAGGTGCTGTTTGTGTAGTGAGTATTCTGAATCATCAAATTATATCTTCATTCACTGCAACTTTACTTTTCAGCTTTGGGTGATGGCCCTGCCCAGTTTTGGTTTTCAAACTTGCATGCCCAAGCCCAAGTCCTTTCTAGATTTATTCCAGGGGTGGAGGATGAAGGGCTAAGTCATAGAGGAAAAGTTCTGTGGAGCATATTTCCTGCAGCTATTATCTGGACTGTGTGTAGGGATGGCAATTTTCCTCATAAAACCAGGGCCCTGCCCTGCCCCGGATGGGGCAGGTTTTCCCCAATCTTAAACAGAGACGGGGGAAACACTTTTGCCCCGAATCAGGGACGGGATGGGGACGGGGTTTGCATATAATTCCCTGAACCCGCCCTGAACCCGGTGGTAAATTATTAAAATATTCCTAGGTTTAATATTAATTTTTAAAATACCCTCAAATCTATCAAAAAAAATTTAAAATACGCTCAAATTTCCCCAAATTTGAAAAACATAGGATTTCATAATCACATTTCTAAAATACCCCAAAATTCCCATAATCCTATATCAAAAATACCCTTGGAATTTGATGTGTTTTAGGTAATTTCTTCAGGGCAGGGAAAATTCGGGGATTCCCTATCCCTAATGGGGGAAGGGTGCCTTACTCCAAACTGATCCTGCAACTGGGGATGGGGCAAAAGATTTTGGCTACGAGGCAGGGACGAGGAGGGGGTGCCCCACCCTGAACCTGCCCTATTGCCATTCTTGTGTGGAAAGAAAGAAACCAAAGAATTTT